AGCACAAGTGTTGGCTCAGGCACCTCCGTGTCTCCTGGCTCCCTGCTCGGGGATGGCTGTGCCCGGGCACTGCAGGGGGGTCCCCGGGTGCGGGTGGGTCCCCGGCCATCACACACATCACCCCGCATGGAACAGCGTTTCCCCCACTGTCAGAGTCTGCTCTCCAGGACTTGGGGATCCTGCTTCTCCCAAATCCGGGTGGGGGGGGAGGTCTGCTTGCTTCTGCCAACCCTCAGCAGCAGGAGCTGTGACCAAGGTTCAGTTTCAGGTGCTCAGAGCTTTCTCCTGTCGCATCCAGGCTGCGCTGAAAAAATACCAGACAGAGCAAAGGAGCAAGGGGGACTCGCTCGATAAGTGCCAGGCAGAGCTGAAGAAACTTCGGAAGAAGAGCCAAGGCAGCAAAAACCCTCAGAAATACTCTGACAAGGAGCTGCAGGTAGGACCCCGGGTGTTGGGGGGACAGCATCCTGTCCTTGTGCCAGCAATGGTGGGACAGCATCCCGTCCTCGTGCCAGGCAGCGGGTGCTCAGTTGGTTCCACGTGCTGCAGGTGTCCTGGCTCTCGCAGACGTTGCAATAAGTGTTTGCTGTTTGCAGGGGAGCGTGGTGGGGAGTGGGAGGTGTGGATGGGGAGGGGGTGGCAGCCCCATGGGAGTGGGTTGGTCTCGTGGCCGTGCCGGGGGAGGATGGGGCCAAGGGGAGGCTGCGAGTGCTGCTGGGGGGAGAAGTTGGCACGGGTGACTAACCCTGCTCAGTCCTCTGCTCCTGGTGCTTGGTTGGTTTTTTTTTTTTGCTTAATGAATGAACCAAAAAAGATCATTAATTGCTGTTGTGCCAGATCATCTTCCTCTGGATGGTGTTTTGCTTAAATATTTTCTGTGCCTGCTGCTGGGACACCCCTTCCCCCAGCTCGCTGGGGCGGCGGCGCGGGCCGGGGGCGGCTGCGGTGAATCACCGCGGTGTGATCGTGGTGGGGGCTCGCTCGCCAACCCCGCGCCGGTTGCCAACTGAGTGTGGGGCTGGGGTCTGTCCCAGCACCTGCTGGGATGGTTCATGCTGCGGGGTGGGCATGTTTCAGAGGTTGGGGCGTTGGGATTCCCCGCAGGGATGGGGTTGGGGTCAGCATCGTGCTGAAGAGCATCCAGGGCACGTCCCCGGTGCCGGGGCTGAGCCGGAGCTGCAGCATCCGTGTTACTGATGTGTTTGCAGCAGGATTTTGTCTTCTGGAATCTGTGACCTTTGGTTTGAGCTTTGCCCAGAGCGCAGCTGAACGTGGCAAATTTTAATGAGAGATTGATGCACCTACATGTAAATGTGCTGAAGGTCCTCGTGCTGCTGCTTGAGTTGAGGCTTTTGAACGATTGCAGCATGAGAAATGCCTTGAAAAGGGGAAGATGAGCCCTAAAGGCAGAAACTACCTGGTCTTGTCTCTGAGAGTTTGTGTAACGTTGGCACCAGGATCTGTGACTTTGGATGTCGCGGGCCGGTAACGCACCAGGATGATCCATGTCAGCTGAAGGGGATCTCAATGGTGGCACTTCACTTGCCAGGGTGGCATTTAAAGCGATTGGCAGGTAGTTACCGTGAAGGTTGTGCTGGGGCAATGACATCCTGAATTGCACTAAAATTTGGGAAATCAACTCATTCTCTGGGTGGTGTGAATCAGAATAAGCACTGAAGGAGAACAACGCGCCCGCAGTCATCCAGCTCACTGGCAGCTCCCGTGCTCCGCTCTGAGCTCGTGCTCGTTTGCTAACGAGATGATGCTCGGGCTACCGTGGCTGGCCAGGTCGGTCGATGTGGTGACCCGGGTTCCAGCGGGTGCCAGCGTGTTCTTGAGAGCCAAGCAGCTTAAACCACTTCAGAGCAGCAGCATCCCTGCAAGCCCTTGCTCTGAAATCCCCACTCCCTGTTAGGCAGCGAGGCTCAGCGTGGGGAAACCTGGGGCTCAAACCTTTATCTTCCACCTGCAAAAGCTGCTGGTGGGGATAACGGAGTGAAATTGCTGCCAGAGCCACCCCGCTGCTGCCTGACCCCCACCCCGGGCTGCTGCCACGTGAGGATCCCCATCCCACACCTGGATAAATCCCTGGGATGGGTTTGCTACAGCTGGAGAGCAGCGATGGCTGGATGCTCTACTGGGCTGTGCGGTCCTGTTCGCACGGCTGCTTTGGGCAGGGAAGCAGGATCAGCCTCTCGCTCTCTTAATCTTTCAGCAGTAAGTATTTAGGAAGCGCTTATCTCTGAAAAAGCCTTACGATGGCTTTTGAGCTTAAAGAGCTGTGAGACTGCTCCACTGCTCGCTGCTTTTTTTTTTCTCTCTAGATCAAAATACAAAGTTAAATTGCTGAATTCAGCCAAAAGGGCCGTTTTCCCTCTGTTCTCCCTGGCTGCTGCGCTGGCATTTCCTTTCAAGAGAAAAAGAGGATGTTTTGGGTCACCCTTGATGCTGTTCTTACCTTTGCCTGGGCATTGGAGAGCGGGGGGATTGCTGCAAGGCTGGGTCCAGCCTGGAGCTGTGCTGGTGCTGGACCTGGGAGGGAGCCTTGTGTGGGGCTCAGTTAAACCAGGCGCATCTGGGAGCTGCTGGTGTTGCACTGTGGGGCTTTGCTCCTCAAAAATCTTTCTCATTGGGTTTAAAACGGAGCACCACGGCATTAGCCCTGCTGCATGTGGTTCAGTTTGTGTAGTTGGCCCACAGCCATCCCTGCGGCCAGCTTGTAAAAACCCCCAGTGACCTCTGAGGAAGCTGCTGAAGGCATCTCGTGATGCTTGCGGGAGGCTGAAGGCTTCGTCAGGCTGGTGCCTGGGGACCACAGATGGCTCAGACCACAACTGGATGGAGCTCTTCTCATGGGCTGTTGCAGATTGCTTGTCTGGTAGTGGGAGAAGCTGCTGTTGATAGAAATGTCTTGGTAGCTATATCAGTCACCTCCTTCAATAAAACAATCGTGTCTTGCTCTTCTTTTGAAGACTCATCCACTTAAGCTCCTGTAGCAGTCAGCAGCCAGGAGTCTGATGCTCTGTCATCATCTCACATCATATTTAACGCTACGGGAAGCAGAATTGCTCCTTTCTGCCTTTTCACCACTTGTTGAGTGACCACATCTTGTCATCGCCTGCAAGTGATGACAAGTGTGGTGGGGGAGGCAGCGCTGGCCACCTTGGGGAGCTCTGGGTTGTGGTTTCTGTAACATCATCTCCCTCTGTTGAGGTGAGAGGAGATCTGGGACTGCTCAGGCTCTGGTTTTCTGAGTGGCAGAAGACAACCCTCACCTGGGCCAGGTACCAGTGTGGCTCAGGCTCCATGCTCTGCTAGATTGATCAGAAAACCCAGTAAACCAGCCCAAACATCTCACCTGTGACTCTTCAATTCAGATTTTCCCCCTTTATAAAGCAGAAACGTCTGCTGATGT